AGGAACCAGTTTATTACAACAAAATGATAACATCAGCATCTTCTTACTGAAGAAAAGGTGCGCAGAGCATGGGAAAGAGCAAAGAATATCAGCATGAGTAGCACAAATATGCTGTAATAGTAACAAAGATACACAAACATGGGAACCGACTACCCAGAGGAGTTGTAGAACTTCTAGCCTTGGAGTTTTTAAGACCCAGCTAGACAGTAACATGGCTGACGTGATCTAGTGCTAGCAGTAATCCTCTTTTGAGTGGGAAGTTAGACTAGAGACTTGCCAAGGTCCCTTCCACTTGGCATTCCTCTGGTTCTCTAAACCATCTAGCAAGGTTGTAGTACACAACTGGGAGAGAGGAAAAGAGGCTTGTCCTGATCTGTGACCGGGGCAATCTTAATTCCCTCCGATGCATAAGCCAAGACATGCCTGATCTGCACCTATTCATCATACCCATGTAACCAGCCTAAACAGATCCTTTATGGAGGCTGGCCAATTCCTTTGCCAACATCGAGGAACACATATCTACGGACTAATAGCTTCCGTTTTCTTGAGGAGAGGCAAACAACTGTAATCATTTTTTAAATATACCAGCATGCTGCAAGCTGGATTAACTGTGCAACAGAAGTGTTACAGACAGATAAAATGTTGAAAGCAAGAGTTCAAAAGGAGTTCGTAATAATCATCAAAATCTTGGATGCAGTGGAAACAGCAGCTTGTTTGGTTCAAGTGAAAATGAAAATTTCACCACACTTCTAGATTTTAAATTTTAATATATTTAAACTGGGTGAATGTGCTCTTACTGTTAGGTTTTTTAAGTGTTAAAGATTTAAATGAGTACAGCTAGGTGTTACAATAAATACCAGGCTGCATGGTCTCTTATAATAAAAATCACATTTTCCTCATTAATTCTGTAGCTCCTACCCTATTCAAACATGCAACATTTAAAAGTCTCACTAAAAGGAAATTCTTATTATCAGTTCTTAACAGTCATAACTTGGTGACTCCTATAGCACAGTCATTTTGCTGTTTTAATACTCCATGATACACAATCACAGCAGCAACAACAGAATTTAGGTAGGTAGTGAAGCAAAAACTGTGCAAGTTTAAAATGCACTTTATGTTGCATATTTGAATTTATTCTTCAAATGTTAATATAGAACAAACATCTGGTCATGATTGTCCTCATCTAATTTTTTTGTCTTATTTCTATTTTAAGCCATTAGCAGCAGAGGAGCCAGTAGCCTAATCTACAAGAACTGAGCTGTAGAGTATGTTGTCAGTAAGTTGATGCCTGAACTGTTTGGAACAGTCTTAGTGTGCTCTAGATTACCTCCTTAATTACGGAAAGCCACCTTCTATAAGTGATATAAATTCCAGGCAAAAACCACTTTGCTTTTACTTTAAAATACACAAAATAGCAATGGTTTTAGAAGAACTTTAATGGAGGATGGGATTTTCAGAGGATCCAGGCACACCTTCCAGCCGCCCTCTCCAGAATTTCAGCCCGAGATGAACACTTAATTCCTTTGAAGCCTTTGGAAGTGTTGGCCTGATGTCTTCTCAGCTGCCCCAGAATGACTTATCTATTTGCAATTATAGCAGCTGCTACGCAGCCCGTAGGAATAACAGTTACACTGATACCTGTTAAGAACAGTGACTGCTTCTGCATCATCCTTACAAGTCAGCAACTTCTCCATGTTGTATTCCAGCACTGCAAGACCCAGCTGCAAGATTGCCTTTATTCCATCATAGAAGAAACAGTCCACCACATTGACTGCACTTTCAATAGGCAGCACACTGATAAAAAGGGTAAGGAACCAGGAGAGAGAGACCGAGGAGAAAAAAGTCATGTCCGTCATGTGGTCTGTCAACTGAGGCAGATGAACCCTGATGAGCTCCTCAAACACTGCCTGATCTACCAAGGCACCTGCAGGGGAAGGATAACAAAACCACCACCCAAATCTTAATACAGCGAAGTATACTTTTCTCAGAGCACTGGCCAGAAATAAAGCCCCCGTCCTAACGCAACTTTGTTGTAAAACCAAACACAGGCCTAGCTGCATGGAACCATTACCTTCATTCCCTATGCTGGAAGCTATGTCCTTTATGCATGGGTCCAGAGCCTTGCTGCATGCTGTAAAGTGTGTTAGCACTTTTGTGAGTGCGTGGCTACTTCCAATGATTCTCCTGACAGCCGATACACCCTCTCCGCAATTAGAGAGAAACTTCACATCTAATTTTCCTCTAGCATATACACCTGCAAGTACTGAGCATGAAATCAAAGACTAAGTCTGGACCTGGAGTAACTCTTTTTCCTTTATTTAAACCGACCAAGTTTTAAATAAATAGTATGAATTGCAGTTATAATTCCAAAAGAACAGTATAATAGTCTAATTTACTACTTCCTGAGTAGTTATGCCTAAAGTAATGACAGTATCTGAAAATCATATCCACTCCTGCTTAAGGAGGAGTCTTGGGATGTTCTCTGTAACTTCCATTTTCTACTTCACAATACTGAACCAAATGCAACACTTTCTCTCCACTGTTCAGCATTCAGCAGCTCATTCCTTACATTTGTTCTTAATGAATGATCATTTACATTCAATTCTACATAGATAAAAAGACAGACGGATGTTACCAATGATTCGACGATTGAAATAATCGGGTAGCATCCTTTCACACACAGCAACCAAAAGCCAGAATGCTTCCTCCTCTTTAGCATACAGCAGAAGTACTGATGTCAAAATATTCATTGCCTGTAACATTTAAACAGGAAAGGAAGCATTTACACGGAAAGATGGTGAAAACACACCTGTTGTCATTTGCTAAAATTTACATTTCTGAAAGCATTTTACAGCACGTTTTTAGAGTGCTAGGATAACCTACAGCCAGTATCAGACTTTTACCTCCATACTATTAAATACAGAGCATAGTATTTAAACTACATAAAAATATTTTTAAGTGCTAAAAGTCTAGTAAGAATGCAAAGGCATACATGAAGTGGACCTGACAGCATTTATCAACAAATTCAAGTACAATGTAAAAACTCATGTTACATAGTGGGATGAAATAAGCAAAGTAAGTGAACCGCTGAGCAAGCAACCATGACATATTTATGTGATTGATTTTATGAGGTGCCACTACAGTGCCCTCATGAGCTAATATTTAGACAATCAATACTAAGAGTCTCAAAACTGCTTTACCTGACAATATCCAATTTGGGGATTCCTGTATGCATAAGCTGTAAGAACTCTCCTGAGTGCAGAAATTCCTGTGTCACTTTGAAAAGCAGGATGCTCAGGTAAGGAGCGACGTAAATCTCTTTCAATTTCATCAGTAGCTAAAGTGCATGTTCCTAAGGACTTTTCCACCAACTCAGTGTAATAACCAGGGTTGGATGCCATATCATTTACAGCACCTGCCAATACATTGTATTGCACAGTATTAGAGGACAACAGTAAAGTATCTACATGATTGTCTGCGATTTGTATAAAAATTTTTGGAGATTCATGAGGTACCTCATGAATCTCCAGATGTTACTGCAGTAATGTATCAGAGTAATTCTACTGAAATGAATGGAATTACTCTGAAATGAAAACAGCAAAGCGAAATAAAATAAGGCTTGGAGGAAATCTAAGTCACTTTTCATTATAAAGTTGATTTTGACTTACTCTTTTGTTTCATTGCAGGGGGGGGAGCTTCCTTTCACCTACAATTTTGCCCAAGTTTTCTAGCAAACACAATACCTTTTCATTTGTAGAGCTGGGAACAGATTAGAAAAACTAGGCAAAGGACTGATATTTACCTAATTAATTCCATAACTTTTATGTCAACACTTTCAAAGTCAGAGATATCAGTCTGGTAACAGAAGCATAAATGCCTATGTAAATGCCCAAAGACCACTAGCAAGGATAAATCCATGTTCACATGTCCTCAAAAGGAACTACCATACAGTGGGCTGAATGAAGAGTGTAAAATGCATTTGTTATGATAAACAGATCCTCTGGAACAGCAGAAAGCTCTGCCCAGGAGAACACAGTGAGTACAGCTAGCAGATAAGGTCCTGGGTGGCTCCTCAAAATCTGCAGCTCATTTTCTGAATCTGACCTGATCAAGTCAGTGGCTGCTGCTTTCCTAAGTGTTTCAGTGAATGGGAATAGAAAGCACACAGAGGTGTTGTAAGGCAGTGTCTTAATTCCTTGGGCCTCCATTTCCTCAAGTTAAGTGTTCTGACACAGGTGTGTTCTACAGAAGAAAGCCACAAAAGCACATTCAGAGCTTCGGCAAGAGTTCCTATATGTGTAAGGAAGTCCACAATTCCTGTACCTCTCACTCTTTAAACCAAGCAACAGCGTATAGCAAAGAGCTGCCAATAACTGGGGCCAAATTCTCTGCCAGGAAAGGATTTTTTTTTTGTGTCTGGTAATGCTATCCTCTCAGAAAGCTTAAATCAAAACAATTGAAACACAGTCCCACAAACATGCTTTTCTTTTTAGCAAGTAAAGAGGCTTTGCTGAAACTGACTGTCCCCTGGAACAGCATGCATTCTTATTGTTATTTTTCAGTTGAGTTTGTTGCAAAAGAAGCAGATGCAGGTTTAGTTTGAATCAATGCAAAACAAAATAATAGAGAAAATTATCCCGTTCATCATTTTGAAGTGTCTTCAGAAAGACTTGGATAAATTGCCAAAGGTAAGAGCATTTTTTGTCAGACTACGTTCAGTCAGTAACTAGAACATCCCTACAGCAGAGTCCACAAAATTAATCAATTATACTTGCTACGCAATACCTGAGAAGAGTAGCCAAAGCTCTCCTCTTAATGCCTCTGGGATCCCTCTTACAACTAGGTCTCGAGTCTTCTTTGTTCGAAACATACTGACACCATGTCCACGTTCGACAAAGAGGATGTTCCAGGACTGTTCTTTCATTTTTTCTTTCAACTATGAAAAGCAGAAGACAACAAGCATTAAGTATACTGAAAGATCTTCCTCATGTTTCAGAGAACAGAACCAAATTTTTCTCTCAGTTATATTGGTATATAAACTGGAAATGACAGCATTGGCATCGATATTGATATGTGAAATGAATGCTGACACAAATCAGAACAAAGTCTAACCTGTGCATAGTATAAGTTTGGCGTACAATGCAATCTCCTTCATGACATACTATTCTTTGAAGTATATTATTACAAGAATGTCTATACTAGATCAGACAAAAGGTAAATCTAACCCAGGATCCCATCTGACAGAAACCGACAGCAAGTGCCACAGGACAGTAAGGTCAAGCAAACATCTGCAAAATCCTCTTCCATCCTCCAGCACAGGCACCTCCTCAGCAGAGGCAATCTCTCTGAATTTAACAACACACAGCAGATTTTCCCCTGCAAATTGCCTTCTGAACCCAGACAAACCTGCCGCCTTCTAACTTCACTTGAAGCCCCCTTATTGCTGTATTAAGACAGCAATCACTCTCTTTCACCTTTTTCAAGCCACTCCTAAGTTCAACTTTTTCCTTACTTCCCACTCAAGAATGATTCCAACCGTAAACAGCAATAACTGTATGCAAGCTGGATTTTCATTTTAAGAGAAGTCATCACCATCTATTTGTATATTTTATTGTTCACTATTCTGCTAAATTTACTTTTTTCAAAAAAATCAATAGGTAGACAGCCCTATTTGTTACCTCTAGATTGAACCATTTGCAACTTTTGACACCACATCAGCAAAAACTACATTATTATCAAAGGACCACAAAGCACTAGGGACTTAAAGGGAGTGAATGAACAGTGATAAAGCAGTAAGACAGCTAGCCAGTGCAAGGTGCAACTGTGCAGACAAATTCTGCCATCATAGTTCTCCTGAAGCGTTCCAAAAATGCATTGCCAGCATAACGGATAAGAAAATTCAACATTTGATATAATTCCTATGGCAAAAAATTAGAGGTACATTAAAACTTCCTCTTGTAAGATTCTTTTTCAGCTATTTCCATGTAAATATATATATATGTTTGTATGATACATACATACATACAAACAAATTTGCTTATTTTAACTTGGCCGATTTTAAAATATCCCATTTTTTTGTTGCTGCTTTGTGATAAACAGTGTAACATTTTCTTGGTAAAGGGTAAATCAATAGAAGAAAGAAAAAAGATTACATTGAATGAAAGCAGTAGAAAAGACAACCAGGAAAAATAGGGTGAAGAGAAGGTTCAGATTGCGTATGTGTGGTAGCAGGTTTCTCTGTGCTCTTTTGAGAGCTCTTAACAAACTATGAGAAAAAGTATTTGACCATGATGGCGCAATGAAATCAAGCAAGTGATTACTTGCAAAGTCAACTCACTGTCACAGGTATCTGCTTAATTATTCTGATAAATTAACATACTTTGATTTCAACATATCTATGAACTGTTCTTTGCTAACAGCAATAAAAATGTACTAACTCTGTTACAGATGAAATAATATCTCATAGAAACTCAACAGGCAAAATAGGTTGCTGTCGTGGTTTAACCTGGCAG